AACTAATAAGGAAAGACTGAAACAAGATTCATGTTTCTTTTAATAAATAGCAATCTTTCCAGTGAGCTTGAATTTAATTAAACTGGACCTTAATTATTTGTTTTATCCAAATTAATTTTTCAAATTATTTGCTTTATTCAAATTAATATTAATATTAATATTAACTTCCTTATTCAAATTAATTTCCTTATTCAAATCAATTTTCTTATTCAAATTAATTTTTTTATTCAAATTAATTTCCTTATTCAAATCAATTTTCTTATTCAAATTATTCATTTTATTCGAATTAAAAAACTTTCAATGTAATTCAAATTCATAATGAATAAAGTAAATAATTCAAATAAACCTTATTCAAATAGAAATCCTAAAGTACATTTCATAAAATGAAGATCATTAATTTTTTACAAAAATTGATTGGATACACTTATTTTATCATTAAAACATCCTTATTTTTTGCAGTAATAGAAATATTTGTGTACTTAAAACATACTTAATTTTCCACTAATACAAAAATAAAATTTATATAGTATAAAAAATAAGTATGTTTTAAGTATTATTAACTTTAGAATAAAAAATTAAGAATTATTAAAAAATTCAATTTGTGCATTTCCTTTTTAATTTTTTTACACTTATTAACATATATAAAAGAAGAAAAGGTTGCTGTGTTATGGTGCCCTACTAAATGTTGTAGATTTTTATATTTTGTGTAATATTTCCCCTTTTTTTTTCTTATTTTTTTTATGTTTCCCTAATCTAATGACTTTGCCCAATTTTGAAATGTTTGGTTGCACAGGAAATAATTCATTTTTAAAGAATATTCTGTTCTGTTCAGTTCAGTTATGATACAAATCAGCACAAATCAGCACAAATATTTTAAACATCCTGTTTCTCAACTTTAGTAAACCAAATTTTTGGGGAAGGATGAGATCAAAATCAAAGGGTAAAACTTTGTGATGAGTCTTTTTTTTTTCTTTGCTGTGCTGGCTTGAAATGATTTGCAAATTGATTTGAAATTTGTTAATTAATAAAATTGAAAATTGAACAGAAATATTTTCATTTTCCAAAAAAATGATAAATGGTTGTGGTTATTTTATGTCACTGTATTGTGTGAATCCCAATTGTTATCTGCTTGTCATGATTTGTGAAACTGAAAAACTTATCTGTTTTGGTTCAAAATGTCAGGGTTGAGTGAAACAGATATTTGACCAAAAGGAATCATGTTTCGTTTTAGATGTTTTTTGCATGGTGTCAACTGCTGTCTACCATTAGTTCTTCATCTTGCTCCAACGTTTTGGACTGTTCAAAATGACCAAAAACTGATGGTCTTGTCTTGGAACCTTTACCTCAGATCGTCAAAGGCTTGTTGCACAATATGTTAGTGATATTTTCTGGTCACAAGACCGAGGTTCAAAAAATGTTTTATTTTGTTTTGTCAATTTAAAAAAAAATGATTGATAAACAAAACAATATGTGCAAATTTTTTTTGATTGTTTGTGTTGAATTAAAATTTTTTTTTGGATTTTGACCATTTGAGAGAGATAGTGGGTGATATGGATAAGAAAAACTTTGATTTTGACCATTGAAAGGATAGTGTATGATCTGATTTCCTTTTAGAGAAAACAATAAAATCATTGATTAATGAAAAAATTTCCTTTCGGGAAAAACAAAATATGTCAATTGATTAAGAAAAAAAAAAGCTTAGTTGATTTTTTTTAAAACAATCAAAATTTCTAAATGACTTTTGATGTTTTCATGAAGCTTATTCTTCAATAGCAATAGATGAAAAAAAAACACAAGGAAAAGATCAGGATGAAAAATTTTAACAATTAAAATTTATTCTTTTATGGGATAACAACCATTTCATTGGATTAAATTTATTCCATGATTTTTATTTGTGTAATCTAAAAAAAAAAAAATAAAATTAAACAGAAAAAAGTAAACTGTTAAATACAAGACATATGACAACATACGAAACTTCCAAAGCAAGTTTGTAAAATATACTGATGAATGTTTATCAATTATTGAATAGCTTGTATCAAGATAATTGTTAAAAGTCAAGATCTATGAATCTGTTTGTAAAATGTATTTAATGAGCGCTTTATCAATTGTTCAAATGATTATATAGGCGGGCTTGGTAGAAGTAAGTGTTAAAGTCAAGATCTATTTGCAAATCAAGTTTCCAAAATGAATGTTTGCTATTATGGGTGGGTTTGATCAAAGTAAGTCTTAAAGTTGAGATCTACAAAGCTTTTTGTAAAATATATTTAATTAATGTTTTATTTATTATTATCGATTATTCAATAACCATATAGGTGGGTTTGATCAGTCAAGTTATATATAATTAGATTGTTAATAGTTAATAATGGAATTTTATTACATGCAAAAAAAAAAATTTTTTGGGTTGTAAATTTTGTTTCATTAAATAAATTCGTTTGATTTTTTCATACATCATTCATGTTTTCTCTTGATTGTATATTTTAAATTGGTCGCGTTTATGATCATTTTGACATTCATTATCAAGAGATATGGTCAAGAGAAGAGTTAGGAAGAGAGTTATTCTTCAACCAAGTCAAAAACCAACCCTTTAAATACATTTTCGAGTAGTACAGTTTAATTTATTAGACTATTTCAAAGGTTTGCTGCATGGTTGCTTTCAACTTCTTAAATTTGAACCATTTGTTAATGAAACAAACTGTTAGTGAAGTGATTGTTGACAACATGAATCAAACCAACATTTATTTTTATGTTATCAAATTCGTGCCTGTTCTTATTCCTCTACTCAAACAAATAATTGTTCACAACATAATGAAAGCTATTTGGAATTTAATTGTTTTTTATGTGTCAATTCTTAGTAAACATTCTGGTCTTGGGGCAGTTCTTGTTATTATTATTTATTTGTATAACATCATAATTAGTTATTTAGTAGAAATTAACATAGATTCACATTTAAAAGACTATTACTATATTGCATTTTAAAAGTTATTTGGATGGAATTAAATCGCAAATTCATGCAGATTTGCAATTAAATTGCTGAATAGTAATTAGGGTTAGTGATGTAAGAAGTTTAATAACTTTATGATAAGTTACTTAGAAATAAGTTGATAAATTAGTTTTGACTAAATAAAAATTTCTTTATAAAATCAATAAAAAATTTATCCACTAATAAAACTAATTTCTTAGTAATGGCTAATTCATTCTGATCCACATAATCATTAATTATTGTTATCACCAATTAATATGCTCTCCAAAATAATAATTGGTCTTAAAAAACAATTCCAATAAAAGAATTTAAGTATACCGTAATTGTAAATCAAATTAGATCATTTCTTCTACTCTTTCTTCTTTCCTTTCATTATTCTTGGTAATATTTTGTTAATTTAATGAGGATCCAACACAACTGTAAATGAGATTGCCAGTTTTGAAATCAAAAATGCATTCTTTACATTCCTAAATCATGAGTTTCGAAATTAAATCTGGTATTAGTATGGTATGTTAATTATAAATGTCTAAAATTTATTTTTCACAACCAATGTTGGTGATGCTACCTCTGTTAATGAATGACTTGGATTCTCAATTTTCTACTGCTTAATACAAGCAAGTGTTTATCATAAGAATGGTGGTGGTGGCTATTGCCAGTTGTTGTCACTCTAGTTAAAATAATAAAGAATCATATTAATATTTAATAAATGTGTTATATATTATATTAATTAATAATGATTAGGTAAGTCATACCTTTTTATATACAAGAAATTTTTATATTTTTAAATTTACATTCATATATGAATGTAGTAACAATAAATTTGGTATAACTCAAAAGTGCATAACTCAGATAATAATATTAGAGCCATGCATAAATGAACATTAAAAGAAGAATGTTTTTTAAAAAAAAAGGAAAAATAAAAATAAAAAGTTTGAATAATGTGGGGATGATGGTGAAGCTCTTCCCCTCTGAACACAAATTTTTCCAAATTTAATTACTTCTTTTGAAATTTTCATTAGTGGGGGTGTTCAGACATATAAATGCCCCCGCACTTCAACATTTAAATATAATATACTAGATCCAATATTATGTTCTATTGGTGTTGAATCTAATAAATACACTTCTCAATATAGTGCCATTGATTCGGTATACTAACATTGTAGATGCTATGGATCCTAAATTCTGACACTAGTACGAAAAATGAAATAATGCTTTATAAGCCTTTTATCACCATTATTGAGTTATGATTGTTGCCAGAATTAAGGAGGACGCTCACAACAGATTGTTACCATACATTAGGACTGGCTACCTAATTGGCAACTTTCATAAATTGTGGCCACGAAGTGCTTCCAGTCCCTTAATTCTCATATTTACCACAGGCCCTGATCCACATCGGCAGGCTTTTCAGTTGGTGTAGAGAAGGACGTTCACAACAGATCATCTGCCATACATTAGGGCTGGTTACCTAATTGGCAAATTTCACAAGTTGTGGCCACGAAGAGCTTCCAGTTCTCTCTTACCAAATTCCTAGTGGCAGATAAACAACAACTCAACGTGAGAAAAAAAACCATCATCTTTCAAGATGATTTACATTGATTATTTTCCTTTAGTATGCTAAATAATTGTTTTGTTTAAAAGAAATATAAGAATGAATTTATTATTATGAATTTATTATTATGCATTTTTTATATTAATATTTTAAAAAAATAACAAACATATATAACTTACTATTAATATTAATATTATTATTATTGACATTACCACCACTGTCTATTGTTGTTGTTGTTATGATTATAATAATAGTGGTGGTAAATTTATTCATACTGGAAAATAATCACTTCCACTAGATTGGGAGTGGGAATGAGGGTGGGAGCTGCTGTTGACAGTTGAAGTAGGAACAGCTGTTGAGCTGTTGAAGTAGGACTGGCAGCTGAAGTGAGAGAAAGAGTGCCAGTAGTTGATGGATGTCTGTTCATCTTGTTGTTTTCTTCTGTTACGTGGTTGTTTTGTTGCGTAATAAAAATTTGTGCAACACGTAAATTAATATAATGCTATCATAAATTTGATTGGTCGATCGACATGTTATAGGTAAAAGATAAATCGAAATTCATTCATTATTAATCCCTTTCCTGGGCCATCAAAAATTTATTTCCGGCTTATAAAGCACATATCATTAGAAAGCCTAAGTTAGCACCAAAGTAATTTGAAAAATAATAAGGTAATTCAGAAATTAGATGAGAGGTGAACAGGAAAATTTTAATAATAATAAAATTTTTGTGATTTAAATATAATAATAATACTTAATACAATACTTGATATAATACAGTAAAATTTACAAAAAATTAAATGCTAATTAATAGTCAATTATTTACTGAAAAAACTAGTAATGTTTGTTTGTATTGAGTTTTGAATACTATATGATTTTATTGTTTTTTTTTCAATGATTTTAAAGCTTTTAATTCATTATAATTTGCTTGTATATTATTTTGTTCAAGAAAATTAAAAGCAGTTTCAAAAGCTTTCACATTTTTTGGAAGAAGAAGATAGTTGTTGAGACATTTTAATTTCGTAGAATTTAGAGATTTATTAATTTAAAGAAATCAAAGAAAATGTTGATTATGTAGAATTATTAGAAGATATTTATTTATTATCAATTTAGAAATATGGAAAATTTGATTAATATTATTATTTAGTAATGTGTGTTTAATTATTTGTGTAAAATCATTATTTAGAAATATGGAAAATTTTGATTAATATTATTATTTAGTAATAGTAATGTGAGAATTTATTCATGAGAATTATGCAATTTGTTTATATTATTATTTAGCAATGAATTAATCTTAATCCGTTGTAACGCGATTAGTACTTATTACTAAAATCCTAGCAAAAAATTCGTTGTCCGTTGAAACGCGATTTAAATATAAAACAAGAATTTTTTATATTAATTAATATTAATAGAATCAAGGGGTAAAACCAAAAATCCGTTGAAACAAGGGTTCGACTGTATTATTGTTTATTGTAATGTTTTAGTATGTGGTGATGAATCTACAGTTAATTATATTACACATTTATATGATGACCTCAAAAAGAACAAAACTTAATCCACTTTTATTTGAAAAGAATAAATTTTAAATTTTTTGTATAATAATAATGGTGTGTTGCTTTAAAACGATAATCAATTTGAAAAAAAAAAAAAACAAAATAAGTTGTTTGGAGAAGAGGCGAATTGAATGCAACATAGTAATAGCAATAGTTATTTTTAATTGTGTTGCTTCTATTTGTCTCAACTCGAAAAAATAAATTCTTTTAAATTGTTTGTATGATAGTAATAATAATAATGGCATGTTGCTTTTTAAAAATGATAATCAATTTGAAAAAAAAACAAAACAAAATAAGTTGTTTGGAGAAGAGGCGAATTGAATGCAAGCAGTAGTTATTATTAATTGTGTTATTTCCACATGTCTCAATTCGAAAAAAACAAATCCTTTTAAATTGTTTGTATAATAGTAATGGTGTGTTGCTTTAAAATGATAATCAATTTGAAAAAAAAAAAAAAAACAAGTTGTTTGAGAAGAGGCGAATTGAATTTGGAAAAAAGGCAAGTTGTAAAAACAATCATGGCGCCTACTCATCTTGTTTATTAATTTTCAACTAATATAAAAAGGATAGCTATCCTTTTACATCTTCGACAAAATAATTAAAATCAATATAACAATTAAACATCTGCTTCCTTTGATATATATAATAATTAAAATTTACCTCTGATATAATAATTAAAAATCTATCACCTTTGATACAATAATTAAAGATCTATAATATTAAAAATTGATAAATACAAATCATATAATATATACTTTTTATTGCTTTCCTCTCAATACCTGATTTTTTTAAAAATTTTCTCTATAAACATATAATGGATCAACAAACCTTCAACAATCAAGAGTCCAGCGACCTCTATCAAGATAACTTTGATAACATAGCTCCTTATATCCATCCTGATGAGTCTATTAGTCAAATCTATAGTAGTGTACAAGGAATAGTTGATGATGATGATACTGCTACTTTATCAAATGTATCAGTAAAAAGTACCGTGTGGGAATATTTTGATAGAAGTCCACCTTATGCACAAGAATATAATGTTTGTAAAATATGTGCAACCAAGTATAAGACAACAACAGGAGTATCAACCTTACATAACCATCTCAAAAAACATCAATTAGATGCACCTTCCATGAAACAAAAAGCTGCCACAACTAGAATGAATCCTTTTGGTGAGCTGGAACAAAAGGAACATACTAAATACCTTATTCAGTGGCTAGTTTGTGATCTACAACCTTTTACTGTAGTTGATAACTCCTATTTTAGAGCATTCATCAGCCATTTCTGTCCGCGTTACACTATTCCTGAAAGACATCAAGCAAAAGACTATATAATTGATAAATTCAATAACCAAAGAATAAAAATCATTAATGAGCTTCGTAAAATTGAAGGAAGATATTCATTGACAGCTGATATGTGGACTTCTATAAACAAGGAGGCATTTTTGGGACTAACATTACATTATGTAGATTCAAATTGGTGTCTCTGTAATTTCCTTCTTGATATCATCCCTTTTACAGATAGGCATACAGGAGTAAACATTGCACAAGAAATTCTGCGTGTTTTAAATGAATTCCAAATTTCTGATAAAGTTATTGCATTAACTACAGATAATGAATCTGCAATGTTGGTATGTGGAAGAGAAATTGCTAGTGCACTTGATACTGAACTTTCTTTAAAGACTTTTTCACATTATCGTTGTGTAGCACATGTTCTAAACTTAGGTGTGAAGCAAGGATTAGAATTAGTTAGTAATTCAGTTGAAAAAGTACGTGAATTAATGATCAAAATTAAAGATTCAACCCGCCTTTGTGATGAACTTCGTGGTTTGTGTGATTTAAAAAAAATTAAATATCTCAAACCTATTCTGGATGTAAAAACCTGCTGGAACTCAACTTATTATATGCTTAAACGTTTAGAACAACTTCAACCAGCATTAGTTTTACTCTCTGCAGACAATCAGTCCATCAACGACCTTTACCCAAGTGGTAATGACTGGAAGACAATTAAAGATACTCTCAAAGTCCTTGAACCCTTAGAAAAGGCCAC